TTCCTGGGGGCCTCTGATGGTCGAAGGCTTGAACCATCGTTTCGTGTTCCCTTTCTGGAGTCTCTCTTGGGGCGTGTTTGGGGCCTTCGAAGGCTTTGCTCGGGCATGTCCCTGTGCAGGATGAATATTGACGAGCATTCGAGATATGCTCTTGAGGCGATGTTTCAAACGATACTCAAGACACTCGAACAATAGCCTGGATATAGTTTCCTGGATTATGGTTCGGCGAACGTACGATGCACGCGGTTGGAAAACACGCTACGCCGCGCGGCGCCACCATTGTTTGTTTCCCCGCACTTGGTGGCGGCAGCGCGCGTGTTATCGCGTTTTAGCAGATGCGTGCGTATATGGTGATGTGGTTTGTGAAGCGTGTACAATGAGAGCCGACCGTGCGCTACCATGGTGGACTGGATGGCGCGGCGCTGCGCTTAGATTTGCTCGCAGCGTGAGCAATTCTAAGAGTACCCTCTGGGCAGCCGACAGTGGCCCTGCATATTTGGATCCGTGCCTTTTTTTCCATCTTGTTACGCACATCCACAAAAGCCGCCCGATCAGTCTTTGCGGCAGCTTGCATCCAAGTTCTCGCTGCAAATCTCCAGTCTTCCCCCCACTTTACCCCTTCGCTCCTGCGCGCTATCCTTGTGCAGCCTCCCCGCCCTACTCCTGTTCAATAAGGGTGGCGCATTTAAGCCGGCGCTCCGTGCGTTCGGCCATTGGATCTCTTTCGGCAGTCGCGCGGGTTATGCTGCGCGAGGGACAATTCAGACCGGACAAAGCATGCCCCCTTGGATGCCATCATCGAGTAGACATGAGCGGAGTAGGAGTTGAGATGGAAGGCGGTAGGAGTGGACTGGATGGGGGTTGTCCGTGAGCCAGGTTGATTGGAAATTGGCGCGGGATGAGGTTAGAGCCAGTTCCGACTGTGGCAGAGTTGGAGTCGGCGCAGAGATGCCAGACATACAATCGCTAGATCTTACACGAGAGGAAATGAGTTGGGTCGCGTGTGCCGCGCAGCGTAGATCAGGGGCCGCGTTGGCGTGTGATGGGGCGAAGTGCGATTAGGGCTACATGTTCACAGAACAAGCGCATCATATATGATCCTGAATCATTGGATTGGCAAAGGTGGTCGTTCGGATCGCGCGGGACCAAATAGGGCGCGTTCAACCAGGGCAGATTAATCTGCTTACCTGCGTGCGTGTGCACGTCGTTGTACACTTGCTCACGCGTAAGGATCGGTGGCCCAGTGCGTGCGCAGTGAAGCAGGACTGGGAGCCCGCGGCGCGCTCCGAAAGTCGCCGGCGCCGTCGGGGCGCCCAGGGCGCAGACGGACATCGTCGCCGCCGCAGCAGTTGCGCCTCGGATGCCCGGGGCGAGAGTCCAACGTGCCCTTCGAGTTAAGAAATGCTCCAGCGCAGGACGTCGCGTAATCGCCGACGAAGCAAAATGCCCCGCCAGAGGATTCCGAGCGCAACGCGCGCGCGAGATGCTTCAACAATACAGCCCCCGCGGATTTCACGCGCTCGAGCAATGCCCCGCGCATGTTCCACATTTACCCAACAAACCCTTCAGATCTTCTCCAGCGCCATTGCCGACATCGGAATGCCCCGCATACGCCCCAGTGCCATCTGCGAAATTCCAGAACTCTCCAAAGACACGCCAGTGCCATCTGCGAAAATCCACGATGCTCCAAGGATGCTCCAGTTCCATTTCCGTGTCTCTACATTCTCTAAAGATATTCCAGTGCAAATTGCGAATCTCATATGAATGCTCCAAAGATACTCCCCTTCCATTTGTGCGAACTTTCAAAATCCTCCAGATGCGCCCCCGCGGCGATCTCTGAGATTTCAAAACGCCCCGGGATATGCGCGCCGACCATTTGCAAAACATCAAAACACGCCAGGACGCAGTGCGTGACCATTTTCGACAGTCCCAAGTCACCCAGGAGATGCCTCCGCGTGTTTTCCGTGTAGGCGCCGCCTTGAGGTGGGTCCCGTGGCCTATCCTCGTGAACGCGATCATCTCGTAGCAATGCCTCCCCCCCCCGTCGTCGCCCGAAATCGGGCTGCTGCGGCGTATGATGCAGTGGGATCGCCAGCGGTTCAGACGCCCTGCGTCAGGGTTGCCCAACGCGCGACGCGCACTGCTGATGCAGTACCCTCGTGGGCACAACAGCGTGCCGCAATGTTGCCGAGCGCGTGTCGTTCCGCGCAACAGAAGCGTCGCAGCTTCATCATGTGGGCCCGATCCCGCTGGGGGACTGGCTCTCGACGCGCGCGCGTCTATCGTGTGATAAATGCTGCGCGTTTTACGCAGTTTCCAGACGGAAGAATGAACCAAAACTCTTGCATCAATTTCAGGACCAAGTTTTCCCGAGAGCCCGCCTTCGTTTTTTTTGACGGGCATTTGCACATGGGGGCGGGGGGGGGGAAAAACGTGGAGGGGGAGGACTGGTCGATCGGTCGATCGGCGATCGACCGACCGATAAAAGAACGAGCTTGCGGCGATCCGCCAGTCCCCACGGACCTTTATTCGTATTATACTCTGCTTTTCGTCTGCGATCTGCGCGCGTTGCGATCAGCGGTTGCCCATGGATCGCCGACATGTTTAGATTGGCTGTTTTCTGGTGGCTCTCCTCAGGCGCCTTCAGGGCGCATGCTGTGTCTGTCGCTTGTCCCCGAAGTGGGCCCGGTGGCAACGGGCCGCGTGGAGTCGGAGTCGGCTGCGTGCGGAGCAGGGTCGGTTCGTTCTCGCGCGAGGGCGAAGTCATTGAATGTGTACCGAGTTTCTCGAATGTCGAAATACACGCGGCCATTGTTTACGCGGCGTTGGAAAAAAACGTTCCCTTTGTCCGTCGAGTAAGGCGCCGTGTATTGTACGCGCGCCGAAACACGCAGGGGGGTAATCGCAAAGACAAAGGAAATCCTCCAGCGGGCGCGTTTTTTTGTTTGTGTTGTGTTTATTTGTCGTATATGTATGTATGCATGTATGTATGTATGCATGCATGCATGTATGCATGCATGCATGCATGCATGTATGTATGTATGTATGTGCATATAGTTATATGCATAAGTTTGAATAACAGGAGCATATGCGTGTATGTAATTATGTACACATATATAATGATATATACATATATTGATATACATATATACGACATGGACACATGAAAAGTATGTGTTGCTCATTTTGTTTACAGCATATCCCAAATATCGCCTGTGGGAGGACATGCCTGACATAATCGAAGGCTGACCCAGAGGCTTCTTGGGCTCTTTTGACGCCCTCGAGGGCCGTCTGGGAATGCTTGGGGGCCTCTTGGGCCGTCTTGGTGCGATTTTGGAGGCCTCTTCGGCCGTTTTGGAACGTCGGGAAATCGCAAAGGCGAATTCACAAACTTATCACCATCCCGAGGAAAATCAATGCATTTTGCCTCTTGGGGCTCTCTGGTGAGAGCTCTTGCAGGGCTCTTGTGCCGTGTGGAGGCCATTGTGGGCGTTTTGCAACGATCTGATGGTGTCCTGGGCGTTTCTTGGATCATCAGGGGGGCCTATTGGGGGCCTGTTCGCTCTGCTTGGGGCTTTCTGGGGAGCCCCGAGGGCGGCGCCCAGGAGAGAAGCCATCTCTGGCGGGACCTTGCCAGGGTACTTTTCGGCTGGAGCCCCCCAGGGGCGGCCCTGCGCGCGCGAATTCGAACATTCGAAACCAGCCACCGGGGATTCTAGCACGCCTCTGGTCCGTTGGGCTGGCGAATTCATATCAAGAGTGTGGGTCATGTTTTCTCTGCGCACTCCCAGGAACCTCACACCTCACCCCTTTTCTTCCACCTCATCACTATCACCATCACAGTCCTCAAGCTTGTCACCATCATTCACAGCATCATCGCCGTCATCATCATCACCATCACCATCACAATTATTATCATCACCAAGGTGTCATCACCATCACCATCACCATGACCATCACCATCACCAACACCATCACCATCATCAGCATTACCACCACCATCACCATCACCACCACCATCATCATCATCACCGTCATCTTCATTATCTTTAAATCTTCGTCATCATAACCACTCACCACCACTATCATCATCCTCCTCCTCATCATCCTCATCACCACCGTCATCATCAGCATCATCATCGCTACCATCACCACCACCGCCACCATCATCATTATCATCATCATCATCATCATCATCATCATCATCATCATCATCATCATCATTATCAACATCATTATCCGCATCAGCATCACCATCATCATCACCATCATCAGCATCTTCATCATAATCATCGTCGTCGTCGCAATCATAATCATCATCGTCATCATCATCATCAGCATCAGCATCATCATCATCATCATCAGTATCATCATCATCACCAGCATCATCATCATCATCATCATCATCATCATCATCATCATCATCATCATCATCATCATTCATGCACGCGCCCACTCGCATTCACGCTCGTATAGTCACTGGCGGTCACGACGTAATGATGATGATCATCATCATCATCATCATCATCATCCTCATCCTCATCCTCATCCTCATCCTCATCCTCATCCTCATCCTCATCCTCATCCTCATCCTCATCCTCATCATCATCCTTTTCATCATCACTCATCATCACTCATCACCAGGCCATACACACATTCACACATACACACGCACACTCATACTCACCTTGAGAGAAGTCTCGAGCGGGGGGGCCCTCTGTATGGGGCCTGCGTTTCACGTTGGTGATCTGGGCGGGTCATGAGCCGATCGGTGGGGGCGAGAGTGATCGATGAGACCCACGGCCGCGCCGCGGCCGGCTCGGGCTCTCTGCGCCCAGGGCCCACACCTGCATCCCCTGGGACCCGCACTCTGCACGGGGATCCAGCAGGCCCCCCTCCGTCCCCGCTCCCCGCTCCTCCCCCCGCCCGCAGCCTCTGTCGGCCACGGTGGGTCTCCTGGCCCCGCTCCCCTGGGGCCCCGGTCCCGGGCCCCGCCGGAGGCCTTCGCAGAAGACCACGCGCCTGGCAGCGACTGCGCGGAGGGCCAGCCCGGGGCTCAGCGCGCCCCGCTCGTCTCGGCGGTCGCCCTCAGACCTTCTGCACGGCCAGGACGCGATCGCAGGCCCACGAGGGTGTGCGGATCCTGGCTTGCTCGCGCGCGCGGCCGCGGCGCGCTTGCTGCGTTGCGCGGGGTCCCCAGCCGCGGTGTTTCTCCCGCTCGGGTGGGGCCGGCAGCCCCAGGGCCCGAGGTACTGCGGCTTCCCCAACGGCACGAGCGCGAGCCAGATCCTGTGCCCGAGCAACGGCAGGTGCCCCGGCGAGGGCTCGCCCTCGTTCCCGCAGTGCACGCCAGGCGAGGCGGACGCCTGCGCCTGCGAGCAGGAGATGGACGGCGAGCAGCAGGCGCTGACGTGCGCGTGCCCGCAGACGGGCGACTGCTACGACGCGGTGCCGCCCGGCTCCTCGGACGCGGGCGGGTCCTCGACCACCAACGTCTCCTCGGCCGATGGCAACTCCTCGGACGCGGGCGTGGACGAGGACGCGGGGAGGGAGGGAGCCCAGACCTGCGACGTGGCATTTTTTTCACGACGAGGGCCCCATCCCCGGTGCCCCTCTGGTGGTGGGCCCGATCAACGGGTCTCCGGGTTCGGGACAAGCCAGCCGTCGTGATTTTTGCTTCCCGGCGCCACGAGCACGAGCTCTGGGAGGCTAGTGGGCCCCGACCCAGTCTTGCTTGGCCTCGGGGGGCCCAGCAGCGGCCCCCCGAGGCCGACGCGAAGGAACCAACCTCGCCGCGAGGGAACTCCCTGCGCCCTGTCGCGGGCCCCCGAGGACCTCAGCCCGGGCCACCACTGCGAGGCAGAGCAGCCCCCGGCTCAGCGCGCGCCCCTCCCCGGAGGTGCGAAGCCGCGAAGAGGAGCTGCGACTCCGCGGGGCACCACGGCACGCAGACCGCGCCTGTCTGCGGCCGAGCCGGATCCATCTGTCAGGGTCCCGGGGCCCGACGCCAGGCGAGGGCGCACGGCGTGAAGACTTGCAGCGCCCGGATCTCCGGGCCCGCCCGGCCGCGCCCGATCCGATGCGGGTCTGATGCAAGCCCGGTGCCTGCCAGGCGCTGCGGTGCATCCTCTCTCCTCTCGCAGCCGCCTCGACCCGATCTCGGCCACGTGCCGACGCAGCCCGGCCCGTCGCGCGTGCCGCGTTCCGGCTCGGTTCGATTCTCCGGATCCGGCGGCTCGGCCAGTGGGGTAGTTTGGGCCGCGGGCGGGCGTGCGCGCAGCAGTCCAGCAGGGTCCTCAAGATGAGCCGCCTTTCAAGGGGGACCCGTCGGCGGCGCGCACAGGGGAGTGGCAGGAAGGGGGCGGCCTTCTTGGAAGGCGAGGGGTTTCCGAGAAGCCAGGGGCCTTCGTAGGAGGGCCAGGGCGGGGCTTCTAAGCCTTGTGATGGAGGCCGGAAGGGCTTCCAAGAAGCCCCCCCTCCGCCTTCCTGGAAGGCCCCCCCGTACCCTCCCCACCCCTGCACCCTTAGAAGGCCCCCCCCCCTCTCGCGCTGTACCCGCTGGTGCGCGCCGCCAAACCCTTGACGCCACTAACTCGGTGGCTCGCTGGCCACTTCCGCTCAAGAGGCTTCGAGCTTGGGCCTGGCCGCGCATCCCTCTGGTCCTGCCTGCCCGCCTCTATAGAAGAAGCCTTCCCCCTCGCCCTGCTGGGCGCCTCCCGCCGAGGTTCTGCGGCTTCCCCAACCACACGAGCGTGAGCCAGATCCTGTGCCCGAGCACCAACAGGTGCCCCGGCGAGGGCGCGCCCTCGTTCCCGCAGTGCACGCCGGGCGAGGCGGACGCCTGCGCCTGCGAGCAGGAGATGGACGGCGACCAGCAGAGGAAGACGTGCGCGTGCCCGCAGACGGGCGACTGCTACGACTCGGTGCCGCCCGGCATGGAGCCTCCTGCCGGCGAGGACGACCAGGCGGTGGAGGCGCCGCGCTGCCCAGGGGGCGGCGGGGGCCAGAGCTCCAGCGCCACGGAGACGTCGTGGTGGCCGCATCTTCCGGTCTCCGGAGGGCCCTCGGAGGTCCCGGCGTCCCCAGGCATCCGACGGCGTGCTTCTGTTGGCTTCTGGTCGCTTGCTCGGCTGCATAACCCGATTTCGCGGATTATACAGCATCCCCCCTTTAACCCTTGTATCTTTTTATCCACGGGGTTGAGTGTGGTAAACGCCACAACAGGCGGGGAGGCCGAATTTTATCATCCCTCCAAGGTTCCAATCGTAGCTCTTATCTTCATCCAATGAATAGCACCATGAATAATCCTTATTTAATCGCTTCGCTCATTCCGCCGGCCCATATTGTCGCACCGTTGCGGGCTAGCCGAGTTTTGCGGCCTCTTGGGGGCCTTTTTGGGGCCTCTTGGGGCCTCTTTTGGGCCTCTTGGGCGCCTCTTGGGGCGTCTTGGGGGCCTCTTGGGGGCCTCTTGGGGCCTTTTTGGGGCCTCCTGGGCGCCTTCTGGGGCGGAGGGCTCGATTTTTCAGTTCTCTGTATCCCTCTTGAGCCCCTCTTGGGCCCGTCTTGGGGCCTCTTGGTCCGTCTTGGGCGGCACTTGGGCCGTCTTGGGGGCCCTCTTGGGCCGTTTCGGGGCCGTCTTGGGAGCTTCGTGGGCCGTCTTGGAGCGATCTTGGGCGCCTCTTGGGTCGTCTTGGAGCGTCCGGAAGCCGAAAAAGCCAGAACGCAAAAAACATCGGAAAAACCAATGAAAATCAACGATTTTGGCCTCTTGGGGCCCTCTTCGGAGGCCTCTTGGAAGGCTCTTGGGGCGTCTTGAAGGCCTCTTCGGCTGTCTTGGGGGTCTCTTGGGCCGTCTTGGGGTCATCTTCGGCGCCTTGGAGCGCTCTTTGAACGTCTCGGGGGCCTCTTGAGCAATCTTGGGGGCCTCTTGGGGCACTCTTGGCGCGCTCAGGGCGGCCTGAGAGGCCGCACCCAGAAGGAAAACCATCTCTGAGTTGAACCGGGCGGGACCTTCCCAGGCGGCGGGCGGGGTACTTTTCGCCGGGGGACCCCCAGGGGCCGCCCCGCGCGCGCGAACTAGTACAATACAATTGTTAACCAGTTACCGGAGATCTTAGCACGCCTCTGGCCCGTTGGGCCGGCGAATTATCATTTTTGCGAGGATGTCTCAGGCGAAAGGCGCAGCTTCGAAGATTCACTGAATTCGTTATCATCAATTGTTCGATGACGTCTCAAGCAAAACGCTGGTTTTTGTAAAAGACACTGTCGCGAACATGTCATATTTGTGAGGATGTCTCGGGCGAAACGCTCTTGAAGATCGATCTTGAAGATCGATCCAGACATCCTTACATCGATATCTCCAGAAAAGTTGATTATCTTCCCTGCACCCCGAACTTTCTGATTCCCAGGGGATTGTCGGTACAGCGCGAGCGTGGGCGTCGGCAGTGCAGTCGTGGCCACGTTTTCTGTTATTCCTCAAATCCAGAGTGGGGCTCATGTTTTCTGTGCACATTCCGCGCAGGAACCTCACATCTCGCCCCCCTCTCCCTCCTCATCACCATCATAATCATAATCACGACCATAAGAATCATCACACTTGTCATCATCGTTCACATCATCATCATCATCATCATCATCATCATCATCATCATCATCATCATCATCATCATCATCGTCATCGTCATCGTCATCACCATCACCATCACCATCACCATCACCATCACCATCACCATCACCATCACCACCATCATCACCTCCATCACCATCACCACCATCACCACCATCACCATTACCATTACCCTGTCCATCACCATCACCATCATCATCATCATCATCATCATCATCATCATCACCTCCATTACCATCACCCTCACCATCACCATCACCATCACCATCACCATCATCATCATCATCATCATCATCATCATCGTCGCTACCATCATCATCATAATCATTATCATCATCACCATCATAGCCATAGTCATCATCAGCATCGTCTCACACACGCTCACGCACACACCCGCACTCACACTCACACACTCTCGTCATCACCACTAGTCACTAATGCCCACTCATCATGCTTATCATTATTCTTATCATCATTATCATCATCATTAGCAGCATCACTAGCATCATCGTCACCGTCATCTTAACCATCATCATCACCACCCATCATCATCATCATCATCATCATCAGCATCAACAGCATCATCATTGTCATCACCATCAACATCATCATCATCATCATCACCGCCTACCACTCTTCGTTCATCACTCATCAGTTATCACCCATCACGCGCCACCCATCATCACTCATCATCACCATACACACGCGCTCACATGCTCACCTTGAGGGAAGTCCCGAGCGGGAGCCTCCCCCCTATAGAGCCTGCACTTCACGTTAGCAATCCGAGCGGGTTATCGGAATAGCACTTGAGCACCCCAAGGGGGCAAATCGTGAGGATGCCTCGAGCGGGCACCCTGTCCGTGAGTGAATTGCAAGGAAGTCTCAGGCGGGATCCCCCGCCCTATGGGGCCCATACTTCAGGTTGGCAATCCGGGCGGGCCATCGGCAAATTTTACACCATGCATAGCACTTGAACAACCCAATAGGGGTAACTCGTGAGGCTGTCTCAAGCGTGGGCCTCGTCTGTGAGTTAATTTCGAGGATGTCTCAGGCGGGAGCCCCCTCCCACTGGGGCCCGCGCTTCATGTTGGTAATCCGAACCGGTCATCAGCAAACTCTACCAGGTGTCCCGAGGGGGCACATCGTGAGGATGCCTCAAGCGGGGCCTCATCTGTGAATGCATCGCAGGGAAGTCTCAGGCGGGAGCCCTCGCCCTATGGAGCCCGCACTTCATGCAGGGAATCCGAGTGGGTCATCGGCGAAGTCTATAGGCGTAGCCTTTGATCACCCCACGGAGGGCAATTCGTGAGGATGTCTCAAGCGGGCGCCCCGTCTCAAAGGGAATCGCAAGGACGTCTCGGGCGGGAGCCCCCGCCCTATGGAGCCCGCACTTCATGTTGGTAAACTTAGCAAGGCATTGGCGAATTCTACCATGCACAGCACTTGAGCACCCACTGGGGGCAACTCGAGAGGATGTCTCAAGCGGTGGCATCGCATGCCAGTGAACTGTAAAGAAGTCTCAGGTGGTAGTCCCCTCCCTATGGGGCTGGCATTTAATGTTGGTAATCCGAACGGGTTATGGGCAAATTCTACCAGGCATGGCACTTAAGCACCTCACGGGGGCAACTCGTGAGGATGTCTTAAGCGGAGGCCTCGTCTGTAAGTGAATTGCGAGGACGTCTCAGGCGGGAGCCCCGCCCCCTGGGGCCCTCACATCGTGTTGGTAATCCGAGCGGGCCATCGGCAATCCCTGCACCAGGCATAGCCATTGAGCGCCCCAAGGGGGTAAATCGTGAGGATCTCTCAAGCGGGGGGCCTCGTCTGTGAGTGAATAGCGAGGATGTCCCAGGCCAGAGTACCCTCCCTATGGGGCCCGCACTTCATGTTGATAATCCAAACGTGTCATCGGCGAGTTCCACCAGCCATCGCTCTTGAGCACCCCAGGGGGCAATCCGCCTCCTCCTCCGCCTCCTCCTCCTCCTCCTCCCACCTGCAGCAAGTGTCGACCACAGTCCGATTGTGATCGGCAAAGGCTGGAGGTGAGAGGAGGGCCCGAGGGCGCGAGGGCCCTGTGTCCAATTCTGGGCCTGTCGGAGGCCTTCGCGGAGGACCACGCTCCCGGCAGCGACTGCTCGCAGGGCCAGTCCCGGGCTCAGCGTTCAGATCCGCTCGGTCTCTCGGTGGGCGCGCGAAGGCTTGCCACTGAAATGAGTGTCTGCGGGCTGATGTCAGCAGATCGCGCGTGCGCGCGAGCCAGGTTTCTGGAGAGCTATCGTGTGTGGCTACGGTGGGGGCGCTCGTTCATGAATGTGCCCAGGAGGCGTCAGACCCTGGAGAATTCCTTATCTAATGAGGGCGGCGGTGATGTCCATGACCAAGCCTCAATTGGTGCTCCAACTGCTTCCAGACCCTGGATTCCCTATCCACTGGATCCTTACCCGATGCCCTCACCGTAGTCGGCAACAGTAACACCTGAGCGGCGCAAATAGACGGGGAGGACCGCGCCGACGTTTGCTCGTAAGCTGCCTGCGAAAGGTCGTACGTAAGCGCTCCATTCTCCACGCGGTGTGCTTCTGCCCACGCCGCCGCGTATGGGCGGCAGCGTCATCGTTCGTAAGGCATTTTGTTCTGCTGCCGCTCAATAAGCCTCACTTGCTTGAAGCGCCGTGTTCGATGGCTACAGCGGGAGCGTACTGTGACGGCAGAGCGAGCAAGCGCGGAATGGGAAGTGAGAACATCGGGGGCCCGGAGAAAGCGGGCAATGCATAGGAAGGGGGTCGAGCGAGGACGGGCAGAAGGCAGACGCACGAATTGCCAGTGGTAGCCATGTGCTACAACACATGCCATTCTTATCGCCAGGAAGGATAGTACAGGCCAGATCCCGCCAGCCCCGTTGAGTATATTTCGCTTGTCGGGCTTGAGTAGCGAGCATGGCGGCAAGCACATTTCACTCCAGATATCTGCTCTTGCATTGTCAGCGTAGACCGGTCAGATTTTGCGGGTCACTGGCGGGTGGGCGGATCGCAGATTGCTCGCGCTCGCGCGGATGTGGCGCGATTGTTGTGTTTCGCTGGGTCCCCAGCCGCTGTTCGCAGCGATGAGAACTATGGCGCGCGTGAGCGATGGCCAGTGTTGCCCGCTCGGGTGAGCCATGACTTGCAGCCCCGTGCTTGCGACGTCTTACTGTTATGCAATCCTAGTGCTTTTCTTGAGTTACGGGTTCCAGGGGTCGGGAACTTCGGTTACTCCGTGCACGGAGACTTTGAACAGCAACGCTGCATGATAACACACATGGTGAGTCAGCATCGAAAGTCGCGTGCTTGGCTTGCGTGGTCAGTACCATAAGAGCCCCAGCACGGCACAGCACGGCACGGCTCGCAGCACGGCACGGCACAACATAGGTTTAGCGTTTCGAGTTTTGGCACGGCGCGTGAGCGCAGCACGGCACGCATGTCGAATCCTAGAACCTAGGCGCAGTGCGGCACGCATGCACGGCACGACACGGCACGTGACGGCACATCATCCTGGAACCTAGGCACGGCGCGGCACGCGGGCGTGGTAACGGCACGGCACGGCATATGTTTCGTACATTTGTTTGCAGTTTAGATTATAACATCGTGTTTTGGAAACAATTCCAGACCCCTCAGAGCATTCGGTGTTGAAGGTAAACAGCGACCCGCGATGAGAAGCTGCCCCCCTGGGAAGTGTGATAGATCTAGGAATATGAGGCCCACGGATTGACAAGCGCTCGATTTCCCCTATGTCGGTGCGTTGCCTGGAAGTTACCAGTTCCCGTTGTCGCCTGGCTGATTACTTCCGCCTTGAAGACAGCAGCGCGCGGCTGGGAGTTGGCAGTGGCGGCTTGCAGCGGTTGCTGATTGCAATTTGTGATGGTCTATTTCTTCTCCCTGCGCGCACGCCGCCTGGTGCCGCAAGTGTCTGCCACATATCCCAGCTGTCTCCCTCCTCGCCCAAGCCGTCATCAGCCATCCCTCGGCTAGGCTGGCGAGGGCTTGCGCTCATCCGCCCGCCCGCCGCCCGTCCAATCTGCGGCAGTGGTGCGGCGGTCAAGCAACTGCGACAGAGGAAAGCAGAGGCAGATACAGGAGGGGAGTGAGGCAGAGGACCAAACAGGCATTTGCTCGCTCGCTCGGTGACTCTCAATCCGGGGCTTCGCGCAAGCCGCGACGTTGGAGATCTGTGGGCCCGAGGTACTGCGGGTTCCCCGACAGCACGAGCTCGAGCCAGATCTTGTGCCCGAGCAGCGGCAGGTGCCCCGGCGAGGGCTCGCCCTCGTTCCCGACGTGCACCCCAGGCGTTGGGAGGGTTCAGTGTAACCCCGCGACCCGAGCTGAGCAAAGAAGATGAGGGCATCAGTGCACGTCCTGACAGCTTGAACCTAGATCAAAGACGAACCTTCGTGCGTAACTCTGGGACCACTCGTGAACCTTGCACTTGCGGGTCCGATTGACGCTGCTGTCTCGGACATTCCCGTTGGGGTTCATTTGGCTGCAGACATCTTTCTAATGCTGACCCCTGCTGGTGTTTCAGAACTAGGACTTGCAAGGGTACGGCTCTCACGTGAATGCCCAGTAGCGTGACCCACACCTCCGAATGGTGTTTCTGTTCAGGCCTCGTCTCCGGGCCGCGGCCATTAGAAACGTATCCTGGATGATATCTTCCCCTGGGAAGATGTCAGGACCTATGGGGCCGCGGACTAAAAGCTTGCAACGTCGGATGCCCGTTTCCACATCTCCACAATCACATGTTGGACCAGCTCGTGGTGTACATGGCCTCCTGGTCTGTCCGGGGGAGTCTTCAGAGGTCTCCAGAGGTTGTCGGGAGGTCCCTTGAGGACCCCTCAGGGTGGTGACGACCACGGGCCAGAGGACTCAATATCCAGCTGCTTCTGGTGGGCCACGGGAGACAGCTTGGGGTGGTGGTGGTGGTGTGAATTTTCCGTCTCCATTAGGCATGCAGAACGCCTGCGCCTGCCAGCAGGTGAGCCACAGAACAAAGGGGTTCGACACCGACCACATGTGTGGACTCCCGCGCACAAGCTGCCCGCGTGAGGACGCCCGCATGCGCCCGCTTCCCCGCGCGGTGCGCCGCGCTGGCGGTCCGCGTAGGCCATCGCGAACGGCCGCCATGTTCTCGTACGGGTCCTGAGGGAAGCGCATTCTGAGTTTTTTCGCCAGTTTGGGGCTGTCGGGGCCCTCCCCCAGTCATCCGGGGCTGTCCACAAAACAGCTCGCTCAGGATGAAGAGCCGGTCCCAGGGGGAAAGCCCTGGTCCAGATCCACAAAACAGCTCGCTCAGGATGAAGAGCTGGTCCCAGGGGGAAAGCCCTGGTCCAGGACCCCTGCGTCAGGACCCGCTCCCAGACATCCGACGATGTGGTTTTGTTTTGAATTCCCAGCCCCAGGGGTCCCGACCCCTTCCCCAGGGTAGTTTTCCGTCGCGGGTTCAGTTCTGCTCCAGTGCCCGACGGCGGGCCCCAGAGGCCGAGACAGAGGACCAACGGCGGGAGTGAGAAAGTCAAATCCTCGGAGGCAAGTAAAAAGGTTCTTCCCTTTCGTGGCTCAGGTGATGGACGGCGAGCAGCAGGCGCTGACGTGCGAGTGCCCGCAGTCCGGCGACTGCTACGACGCGTTGCCGCCGGGCGACTCCTCGACCGGCGCCCCCTCTGGAGACGGCGACGACGCCGCGGGTGCGGGCACGGACGAGGACACGGCGACGGGCACCGCGCTCGGCACTGCGCAGAGGGGGGCAGCGCCAGGGCCTGTTCCCTTGGCTGCTCCTCGCCTTGGGCGGCTGGGCGAGGAAGATGCAGTCTCTCTGGTTTTCAAGCTTGCGTTCGGTCACCGCTTCGATGAGCGTGCCATTTATCTGTCTATCCTCCTCCCCCTTCTCCTCCTACCCCCGCTCCAGCGCGCGCTGGGGCTCGAGGCGAAGGAGGCGGAGGCGGAGGCGGAGGCGGAGGCGGAGGCGGAGGCGGAGGAGGAGGCGGAGGCGGAGGCGGAGGAGGAGGAGGAGGAGGAGGAGGAGGAGGAGTAGGAGGAGGAGGAGGAGGAGGAGGAGGAGGAGGAGGAGGAGGAGGAGGAGGAGGAGGAGGAGGAGGAGGAGGATTGAGCAGCTATATGCGGAGATTAGTGTTCGCCGTTTTCGGTCTCTGGGGGCCGTCGCTGGGCTCCGGGCCCGTCAGAGAACGGCCCAGGACGAGAAGCCAGTCCTAGTGAAAGAGCTCGGGGGCCCTCCGGGGGCCCCGTGCCGAAAAGCTCAAGAGATGTCGGATGGCTGCGCTCTCCGCGCGGGCTCAGGACTGCAAGGACGTGTCTGGGGAGTACGCTGGGCAGGGCATGGATGAAATTGTCAAGGCCCTCTGGCCGTCGTCGCCGCTGTCGCCGCTGCCGGCGTCGTCGGCGTCGGCGTGGGCGTCGTCGGGTCGTCGTCGTCGTCGTCGTCGTCGTCGTCGTCGTCGTCGTCGTCGTCGTCGTCGTTTTCGTCGTCGGCGTCGTCGTCGTCGTCGTCGACCACCCCTCCCAGACCGCTGGCGTGTTGAGATCAGGGCGGGGGCCTTTCGTAGTGTTTTGGCGTCCAGGGACTATTTCTGGGCCTCCACGCCCCGTAAACCTGGTGAACATCAAACAGTTATATAAATGAAGCGTTGTCCCCAGGGAAGTGGCCGAGACATTTGGGAACCCAGGTGTTGAAATCTTATTGATTGGAGGACAACGTCTACCTGCTTCTAGAAGGCTCATCTCTGGAGCGTCTGCAAAATACCGTTCTCACTTTCCTAGCAACCAGCGTCTATAGACACATTGGATGCCGCTGCGTATGCAGACACATTCGGGTGGATACGTCTGTAGAGAAAGCGGCCGTTGCTTTCGGCGCAATAATTACAAGGTCAGAGAAAGGTTAGATCCGTCGACGGTACATCTGCTCCTCTTCTAAAGAAGGTTTCACATGCCACTTCAAATCATGATGTCGGAGGTCTAGGCGTTTTTCTCTCCACTATGTCCACGCAGATGATGTGTTCCTCCAGACAAAAGGGAAACATTGTGGGAACGGTTGGGGGGAGAAACAGGCGGAGGAGTTGGTGTTCGGAACCTTCTCTCGGTCACAGGGCCGTACTCAAGGTAATTGTCCAGTCTCTCAGAGTTCACCACTTGCAAGGTCCAGGACGCGCGCTGTTCCAGGGCGTTGTCCAGGAGGCTGGATGATCTGAGGCCCGATCGCTGGGCGTGTCAGTCCATCTCGTCTCCTCGTCCAGACCTATGATATGACTCCCTGACCCCATGAAGACGCGGCCCGGTGTCCTGGACTTCAGTAGAGGCCACACGGTGGCGCACCCGCAGGTGATCAAGGTGGAGGCGGAGCTACTCACGGCGCCTCTGTATTTTGCTATGCAGGGACTGCCCGTTGCGAAAGATTTCGGTCGCCTTGGCGACCCTGCGTCGTGTATTCGCTGGGCTGCACGCTCACGACCGTAAGGAGTGTGCTCGTTCGGACCAGTCCTTGCGTCGAGGTGCAGCCTACATGCAGTATGTAGCCACTTTGCCGCCGCGCCCCTCAGGCTAGGTAGCCCCCACGCGAGCGGGAGGTCCTCCATCGGACGCAGGGAATGCGAGCGCTCCTGGAGCGTGTTCAGGCGTGGGAGGCGGCCGCTCGAGCCACAGCATGAGCCTCCTCCAGCGGCTCAATTGTTAGCGGTCGGTTTCGCCCTCGTGGGATCGCTGATGATAGTCTCGCAGCGTAGCCATCAGAGAGCAGGCCAATATTGTGGTAAAGCATGATGAGCATGATGTCACAGTATAATGATGATGGAGATGAGGAATGTGATGACGATACTGATGACACTGATGAAAACAGTGACGAGGATGGCGGTGGTGACGCTGATGGGGATGACAATGCTAATGGTCAAACCAGGGATCTTCGGGGGTCCTGGTTCACAGGGGACTGGCGGAATAGCGTAACCCCTCCTCTTCTCCTTTCCTCTTTCTTCCTCCCCCTCTTGATGGTCAGTTTCTGGAAGAGGAGGAGGAAGAGGAGGAGGAGAAGGAGGAGGAGGAGGAGAAGGAGGAGGAGGAGGAGGCGGATGAGGAGGAGGAAAGGAGGAGGATCGGGAGCAGGGTACAATGCCCGTCATTCGACACGGGGGTGCAAACGCGTCGATTTCGGGTGCGACGCTCATTACTTCAGGTGCAGTGCCGTGTGCAACGCCCAGTGCTTTCAGGTGAAATGCCATGTGTCCTTCGGGTGAAACGCCCATGTCGGGTACAACGCCCATCCATGCAAGTTGCGATGTCTTGTGAGGCGGAGGAGGAGGAGGAGGAGGAGGAGGAGGAGGAGGAGGAGGAGGAGGAGGAGGAGGAGGAGGAGGAGGAGGAGGAGGAGGAGGACGAGGTGGATGGACGGGCCCGTAGCCATTTTGGCTCAAGCCATTTGGGCTCAAGCATTGCTGGTGCAAGCGCGCCCTTCCATATCCATTCACTTCCGTATACCGTTGGTGTTCCGGGCGGCACCAGGAGACTTGTGCAGCCATTCTTCCTCTTCGGCATGGGATAGGCGGCGCTTCTGTTGGCGACAGGAAGAAGTCTGGGGAGAGAAAGGCAGTGGGCAAGGTGGTAGAGGTCGAGGCAAATGTGGACGGGGGGCGCCCCCCGAATCGCGCCTCGTCCCGTGGGCCCCTTGAGCCAGGAGCTGTTCGGGAGGACACAGTCAAGCGGTGGCAGTGCGCCCTTTGTGGGTGCAAAAAGAACCTCGCCACGTACACCTACTGCAAACACGGCCAGGAGTGGAGGACTGAAGCTTCCACTGATGTCACAAAATTTGCTGTTCCCGCTGATGCTGGCAGTCATGACCGCAATGGGTCACGAGGAGCCGCGCGCCGCGCCCTGTCGGCCCAATGGGGAGGCCATGCCCTCCCTTTGGTCGGGCCGAGTGGCAGGCCTCTCGTGCCAGGACCTCCGGCCGAGGAGATCGAGTCTTCCAGTCACATGGCTGAGCGGATGGGCGACACCGTCACGGCAACCAAGTACAGGGCTCAGGTGGACGCGTTACGGCGCGGCCCTGACCTCACAGCCCAAGAACGTGCGCAACGCTGTCATGAGCGCATCCAGCAGCTCGAGGAGATGCTGGGCTCCGAGGTGGACCAGGTGTAGCAGTACCAGGGATGGGTCACCATGCAGGCGGCCTGTGTGCGGAAGCTCGAGGCCACCCTCCAGGACGCCGACGCGGAGTACGTCAGGACCGTATGGGAGTCTGCAGGGGCGGGGGCCAAGGGCGTTGTCGAGTCAGAGACCACAGAGGCTCCAGCCGTCAAGGTTCCTCTCGCAGAGATGGTGGACGGGAGTAGGAACGTCGCCTGCCTCACCGACTTCGAGGGGTTTTTCAAGGTCGGAGATGAGTTGGAGCTCGCGCCTTAGGACCGTCGCGAGATGGAGTCCAGGAAGGACCAGCTCCGACAGCAGATGCAGGCAGCCACCAAGGGCTTCTTCCAGTGTGCCATGGAGAGGGTGGAGAGCATCAATGAAGTCCGAACACATTGCGCATGTGCAGAGGTTTTGACGTAAGCGTGTCCGTCGAGAAGAGCCCATAACCAGCTCGTGGAGCAGAAGGTAGCCAGGCGGGGCCAGGGGACATCCCCGACCACGACGTGCCCGACGCTATCCTGCCAGCGCGCCTGGCAGGATCGTGCGAAGAGGCCGCTACTGCAAGGGCGGCGTCGCAAGGAGTACCTGCGGCCAAGGCAGGAGGCAAGCCGAAGGTGTCATTTGCAGCTGGTGTTCGCGCCCGCTCTGCGCGCGCTCTCGGGGGCAAGGCCGCCTCGTCAGGTGGGGCGGGTGCAGGCGCAGATGATGGCAAGGATCGACCTCCCCCGTGGGGCGCGACGGAGTCTGGCGGCCTGGGCTTCGAGGGCGCCGACGGGGGGGAGAACGGATACTATTTCTATTCGAATGGTTTCCTCTACTTCGTCCCTGGCGACGGCAGTGGCGGGCCGACCGAGGGCGATGACGCGGCAGCGGAGGCTGCGGGCGCCACTGCGCTCATCGCCCCTGCGATTGCGATCCGGGGGGTAGATCGGCCAGGGGGGGCAGAGCTGAGGAACGCGGGCGCCGACTTCAGTGGACAGAGCAAGGGCGCTTCAGCCGATGCCGTTTCTGTAACGGGCCCAGGTTCCCAGGGCTCCCAGAGAGCGTCGAGCGGGGCGACAGCGTCGCTCGCCGATCGGCGTCGGACGCGGCCCCTAGACCGGCGCCTCCCTGCCCATTGTGTGCGCGGCGCTTTGGCCAGCGCCGCTCCGATCAGCAGCGGGCCTGGAGTCCGCAGCCTGCGCGACTCACCGGGTGCGACTGCGCCGCTGTGTTTTCAAGTTTTGCAGGTTCCCAGGCCCGGGCGGCGGGGCTCGCCGATGGCCCGTCTCTCGTCGCCGCGTGCAGGACGCGGCTTCGTGAAAAGCGTGGGGCCAATCCGTTTCGCGCTGAAGTTGCAGTTTCTTTCCAGACGTGTATCAAGGGCGGATCGGGCGGCCGTCAACCCGACGCCCAGTCTTAACCAGCATGCCAGCTCTCCGCCATTTTCCAGCCTGGCGCCCCCTCGCAGCCACCAGGGGCGGCGAGGGGGGAGGGCGAGCGCGGCTCGTTTCGGGTTGAAACTTGCAACTGCTCAGCGCTCGGCTCACTGAAGCGATGACTGGAAGCGGAGACAGAGGCGTCGATGCTATGCTTCCAAGAGCCGACCCTCAAGCCGTCCGAGAAGGCGGAGGTGGAGGCCGCGCTCAGGAAGCAGGGGTGGTCGGCCTGCTTTCGCCCGTCCATCGCGACGGACGCTGGGGGATTGTCCTGCGGGGTTGGAATTGCGGCTGGGAGTCGCTGCGGGATGGGCCGCCGCCCCCCCCCCACACGCACTTCCGGGGCTCTCCCTGCCCCCCCCCTATGCAGGTGCATTCTGACTTGGGTCAATGCGTTTGTTCCCGGGGGTTCATTGCGGGCCCCGTCAACCGCCCCCAGGGCCCCCCCCCGTGGGGGGTGGCTCTTCCATTCTGAGCAGGATCGGTGAAACACTTTACGCTCTTGGCCTGCCCTTCCTGCATGGGGGAGATTGGATCTGCGAGCTTCAGGCCCTCCGCGGGGCTGGGCGGGTGGAGACGCTCGGAGGGCAGGTTGTTGTCCCTGCCGTAGCCGCTTGTCGCTCAGTGGCCAAGCGCTGGAAGACCATTGATTATTTTGTTTGCTCGGCGGCTCTGGCGCCGACGCGCGAGGACATCGGCAGGAATGATGCGGCGACCGCTAGCCCTCATTGGCCCGTCGGGGCCACGTTGCAGGGGGGCCCCCGCGTCGATCAGGTTTGGGTTTTGCCGCGGCCTTGGCCCTTC